ACAGATTTTCTTTCTTATTCTCTTCTCCCCAAAATGAAGAAAGTTCACTTTAAAACGATTAATAATATATATCCATGTAAAGAATTTTTAAATATCAGATTTAAGACACAAGATAATTTATGTGTCTTATGTAATAGTGAAACACCTTTTCTATGATTGCAAATCGGTAAATACATTTTGGTTAGATTTATACAACTGGCTTTTATTCAAAAACAGTTACAATACCCCCTTATTCACATATAATACTATTCAATTTGGGTGTATAGAAAAAAAATAATCAGATTCAATTCGTTGTTAACAATTTGATCATTTTTGGGAAATTTTTTATTCACAAATGCCGTTTTATGAAAGTGAAGCCAAACTTTCCTTTTTTCCTTTTTTTGCAAATCTCTTAAAAAGGTAAAGACTCTACAGGCTGTTACACTTGACAGCTTTAGTGAAGATCCTGTGAACTAAGGTCCTCTGTCTTCAAATATGTATTATTATTATTATTATTATTGTGTTACTATAAGTAGTATTAATATTAACATTGTATTTATTTATTTTTATATCATGTCTTGTTAATCTTATAAATCCGGTTGTTTCTGCTGATCAGAATATTTCTAATGGTCTAGTTATAAGGTTTTGGTTTATCTACTTTTTTGTTGTTGTTGACTGTTGGTTGTTGTTACAATGTAATGTGATTGATGTTCACTAATAAAAAAAATAAAAAACATCCAGGCCAGCCGACGTAGCTAAGCTAGGTAGCGTTGCTAACGTTGGGCACATAAGATAACAGCACTGAAGCTCCTTCAGGGGTTTCATCAACAATCCATCGCAGTGAGTCTGCGTCTCTACTCAAAATCCCTTCAGGGTACAACTTTGGCTAATCAAACCGCTGCATTTATGCCAATAACGTTAAAAGAACAGCCGCCATCGCTTGTCCTGAAACTTTTATTTTGAAGAGTTAAGTAGAACATGAAGTGACGCAATCGCCTCTTCTTCTCTGACCAAATTCCTTCCCACCAACCGGTACCTCCACCTGCTGGCGTGTTTTAATCCGGCAATTCCTTAAAGCTTCATTATCCAGTTTTCCATTCAATTTTAATCACAAAATGACGTTTTTTGCATCATCCATTCATCAGGATTGCTGCAGAAACAGATAAATTACTAATGGATTTTCACACTGACATGAGACTGGACATGCAACAGCAGCTTTCCAATTTAAACCAACACTTTTTTTATTTAAATAAAAGAGTACAAGCGTTGGAGACAGCCTCCTGTCCCGGGCGTGCTTTTCCACTCACTTCTGATTCCCTTCCAGATTTGGAACAAAACCTGCAACCAGATGACATGCTCCTTGACTGATTTCCAGGATGCAAAGCCAATGTCTGCTCCTGATGACCTGATGACTGATTCATCCGCCTGTGACAATGGTCCAGCGCCCCCGGTGTGGAGTCCTCCAGACTGTTCTTGGGACTGCATTTACTGATTTGTAACAAATGGTTAAAAACTTTCAGCATTAATAAACGTTCTTTTACACATTTGCCTCTTCACTCATTGCCAGTGATGAAAGGGAATCGGATGTTCTTGTTATTTTGCTGGAGGGGAGGTCAACCACCATTTTCAATAGAATTGCAGGCCAAGGCTCGGCAGACATTCCACACGTTAACAAGACACAACCCTCTGTTACGCCAAGGCGTAATCGTCAATCACAAGTCTGGCATTGCAGTAATATCAATACCAAGCTTGGTGGCACAAAAGCTGCTGAATTCCTGCATTGCCATGCCGCCACGGTGCTTCCATAAGACACACTGTGGCGGCTGTATTACGCTGATTTACTGGCACGGTGTATCTTATGAAAGCAGCTACAATATCTGAGTCAATGATGAAAAATCAAGCTCGGCTTCCTCTCACCTTATCAGTCACAGTGTTCATCAGTGAGTACACCCTTTTGGCTTTCTGTAGGTACGACGCCTCCTCCTC